CTGAGGGCTTTTCGCCACCGCGGCCGGGCGCTAGTCTGCCTTCCCCGCGGACTGTTCTCGCGCGGTTTCCGCGTCTCGGACGCCGACAGACACTAGCCATGGAGAGCGGCGCCGCCAGGTACCGGCTGAGCTGCTCGCTCCCGGGCCACGAGCTGGACGTTCGAGGTCTGGCGTGTTGCCTCTATCCGCCGGGGGCCTTTGTGTCGGTATCCCGAGACCGCACCACCCGCCTCTGGGCCCCTGATAGGTAAGTGTTTGGAGCGGCTGCCTCCTGCTGAGTAGCAAGCTTCCTGGCGTGTGGGAACAGAGTGGCTTTTCCAAGTCTACCGGGGCTCTCCCTGCCGGCCTCCCTGCACCGTGCTAGTTTCGTTTTGGTGTATTGGCACTCTCGGAACGCAGTGTAAGAAACCAGCGGCATTTCAGTGGAAAGCACACTGGCATGGGGGACTCTAGACCTGCCTTTGACCGCTAACTAATGATGACTTTGGACGAGCCACTTAGCAATTGAGGTTTCAGTTTTTGGACGATGATCTCCCAAATTTCTTTTAGACTTGGAAAGTTGCAGGGGAACCATCTTAAATGAGGTAATGTGAGAGCATCAGACACATCCTCTTTTTTCCCCCAGAGGTTGCTCTGTAGTCTTCCATCTAATTTATTGAAGATCAGTTAAGATCTCAAAAATTGCAAAGTTTCTAGAAAGTTCCACTCTTCGTTATCCAAGCTAGAGTTTTAATCGAGGGTCTTTGATGGTCTTGGGAGGAAGGTGAGAAACCCTTCGAATATTTTGGGGATGTCTGTTTTATTGCCATCAGAACATCAGAGTACTTCTCTAACAGGAAAAAAAGATTAGCAGCCAGAAAGTTACGCCCCAAATCAGATCAAGTTCAAAGGGTCAACCCTGATGTGGCAAGTTCCTTGTGTTTATATAGCTTATGATCTGCTAGGAGAAATAGGTCAAAAAAGAAGCAAATAACGAATTAGAAATTGGCGTATGTATTGTGAAGTCAAAGAATTTGGTAGAGACAGATTTGAAAAGGGAAGCCTTGATAAAGAAGTTTTCATTTTGTTTTGTTTTAAGCTGCCATCTAAATCATGAGATAGCTCTTTGGAGGGGGGATTGAATTGGACAGCGCACTAGTCTGCAGGAAGAGCAAATAAAGTAGACCTTGGATTGAGAAAGTCTCTGTGTGGCAGGAGGGAATAAACTGTGAGGCAGGGGCAGGTGTTAGAGACAGGCAGGAGCCAGGAAATGAAGTGTCTAGGTGGATGCTTTCAGATACCTTCAAGCAAGGAGCTTCATAATCTGATTTACCTATCAAAAAGTTTGTTAGCTGCTGATGGAGAATGGATTGCAAAGGGCTAAGTGTGGAAGTAGATCTGTCTGGAGTAGTAGTGCTACTACGGTCTGTTTTGCTTTAGTGCAGCTAAAGTGTAAGTGTAGACAAGACTAGAGCGAGACAATATAGAACAAACTTCTGTATTGGATTGGCTGAGATGGCCTCTAGGTAACACCATCACATAACTTTCTATGTATTTAAGTACAATTTTTTTTTTATTATTTTTTTCTTTTAGAGATTTTTGCTTTAGGGCACGTGCTCCACAGAGAGAGACAAGAGAGAAAAAGCAAGAACTCCTCCCCACTCCTGAGGGATGGCCATACCCGCAGTCCCTTCTCTTCTATTTTCCTCTTGGGATTTTGGGCACACGCCCTGATGTGAGTTTCATGCCACGGGGTTCAGGACCCAAACCATAGTCAACTCTGTGGGAGTCCAGCACCTTAACCACCTGCAGGCCTCTTGAGTACAATTATTGATTAAGCTTGTACCATTAAAATTGAATCTAGGCCCAGCCTCTGGGGTGCAAAGATCATGAAAATGTCCTGAAAATGCTTGAAACCATATAACCATGTGCGGATTTGGATACCCTGGTTGGCCTAAAAACTTGCCAGGTGCCTAGGATCCTAAGGGGCTGGAGGGCTCGGGCGTGAGAGCATGATGAGAGACTTGTTGACATACAAATGCACTATTGCTAAAAAAACAAAGTCTAATAGATGCATCTGCCCAGTAGGCTATAACTATTGCGGTAAGGCGTATTTTAAAAGATGCGTATCTTGGGGCTGGGAGGTGGCGTGGTGGTTAAGGACGCTTGACTTCCACATGGCCAACCATGGTTCAAGACTCAGACTTGGCGGCTTGCTTACTTTCTCTTTTTCACTCTCTGTCCCTCTCTGGTCAAATTAAAAATAAATAAATAAAGTTAAATAAAATCATTCTTTTTTTTTTTAAAGATGCATATCTTAATAGTTGATTCCTGCCATTAAACTTTTATTTATTTATTTATTTTCCACATTATAGGGTATGTGTGCTCACCAGAGAGAGTTTTTTTTTGAAAGAGAGAAGTAGAGAAAGAAAGAGAGATGGAAAGTGAGGAATTCCTCCCCACCGATAATGTCCATGCCACAGTCCCTTCCACTCCTCTCAGGATTTGGGGTGTTCATACACACACACACCTGGTGTGATTTTTAAACTGCCAGGTCTGGGACTTGAACTGTATAGTCAGCCATGTGTGATCCAGCACCTAAATCTCCGTGCCACTTGCTGATCCAAGGTTTTACATGTTTTATAGAACTGTGCTAGGTTGATTAGAGTTTACATCACTAAAGTGGTTATTTTGGCTAGTAATTTGAGGAACTTTGGACTAAACCAATTCCGTTTGAAAACTGGTTCTTTTAATTTATTTCATGTTTTCTAAATTCATTCCCATATATATTTATCTAACATTGATCAAGAGCTTGCATTTTGTCAGACTTAGTGCTAAGTAGTGGGTGAGTGGTGATAAAATCATTTAACTTCTCTAGCTGGCCTTGTAGTGCAGCAGTTAGGCACTATGGACGGAGCAGGATCCCATGCGGTTGACCATGGCCCTGGTCCTGGTATCTTGCAAAACATGTTGGGCATGTGTACACAGAGCCCGATCAGAAGGAGGAATGGAGAAAAGGGACTGTAACCAGGCCCTGATAAGGAGGTGCTTTCTCTCTGTCCGGTGTCTTCATGATCCTCTGGCATTTAAAACAATTAAAAATAAAATTGGTTAATTAAATTTTTTAGAGAGATTTTTGCTATAGGGCAAGTGTGCTCGCCAGAGAGATGGAGACAGAAAGACGGGGTAGGGCCATACTGCAGTCCCTTCTCCATTCTCCTGTTGGGATTTTGGTCATGCACACACATACACACGCCTGGCGTGAGTTTTAAGCCACCGAGTCAGGGACTCAGACCGCAGTCAGCTACATGGGAGTCTGTGCCACCTGTTGGTCCCAAAATTGGTTAATTTTTTAAAAAAAAATTATTTACATCTTGTTTTTAACTGCTTAGAGTGCCTTATAGTTAACTAGGTAATCGACCTCATGCATCCTGACTAGTGTGTCTCAACCATATCTTTTTTTTTTTTTTTTTTTTTTTTTTGCAGGGGGTGATTTTTGCTTTAGGGCAGGTGCGCTTGCCAGCTTGCCAGAGAGGGAGAGACAAAAAGCAAAAAAATCACACACACACACACACACACACACCCCAAGGGAGATAGCCACACCACAATCTCTTCTTCTCCGTTCTCCTCTTAGGATTTTGTGCATGCATGCACAAGCACCTGTTGTGAGTTAAAGCTGTTGGGTCCAGGACTCTTAATGTGGTCAACTACATGGGAGTCCAACAATGTAACTATTACATCATCTGCTGGTTCCAAAAAAAAAGAGTTCTTTAGGACCAGACAGTGGATCAGTGATAACACAGCTGGATCCATGGGAAAGTCCTGTGTTTGTAGTAACCTGTGACTTCAGTGTGCACACAGGCATGCATATGCTGCATGCATTCCAGCAGTCTGAGCTGCCTGAGACTGGAGGTGGAATGGGGTATTGGTACTCCGTTTGGAGTGCCTATATCTCGGTGTTTCTCTCACTGTCTCTCTGGTGGAAGAAATAAATAAATGCATGAAAATGTTAAAAACTACTGTCAAAACTGACATACTGGCAATTTTAGTTTCATGATAATAGTGTGTGGTTGATTCAGTTCTGGGTCAGGTTAGTAAGTGTAGGGATAGACTCAGGATGATGGGGAGTTTAGTTCTAGGGAGGCCATTCTTTCTAGGATGAGCTAACCCAGAAACCTAGCTTGCACAACAGTCCATTGAAAACCCAGAAGGTCCAAGGCCGTTCAGAATGGAGATACATTATTTTTTTTGGTAATACATTAAACAGCCTGTCAACATGCCATTGTTTCAGGCTGCTTCAGGCTACTCTGTAAGCTGGCTTCAAACTAAACTGGATTTTCCTTATTGAGCACCATTGATTCAGTTCTGGGTCAGGTTAGTAAGTGTAGGGATGAGTCTTCAGGATGATGGGGAGTTTAGTTCTAGGGAGGCCATTCTTTCTAGGATGAGCTAACCCAGAAACCTAGCTTGCACAACAGTCCATTGAAAACCCAGAAGGTCCAAGGCCGTTCAGAATGGAGATACATTATTTTTTTTTGGTAATACATTAAACAGCCTGTCAACATGCCATTGTTTCAGGCTGCTTCAGGCTACTCTGTAAGCTGGCTTCAAACTAAACTGGATTTTCCTTATTGAGCACCAACTTCTGGGTTGGGAGAGATGAGGTAAGGCTTTGACAGCTTTGCCTTTTTATTGTTTTGTCTTTTGAAATCTACTGGTACTTGAAGACACATTTCAGATTTCAGATCACACTGAGTCTTTTCTGACCATAGCAAGACTAAAGAGACTTCTCCCTCAAGTAAACACTCAGCACTTTTGGTCCTTCGTCACATAGTTCTCTGTTGGGTTTTTAAGAAATTGAGTCAAGTCCCTTCCCACCACACGCCCATTTCCCTTTCACAGAGACAAAATTTTATTTGTATCTGCTTATTTTTGTATTTCACTTCTGTGCTTTAATATATTGCAGTTCTTAAACTGAATGTTTTTAAAATTATAGGCATTATATATTCCTACTGTTCAACATTAAGAATTTAGCTTTCTATGTGTTTTCCTACCACCTCCATCATATATGCATCCTTTCTCTGCTCTGATTCTTTTAATTTAGTTTAGCATAATGTAGATACCATCTGTATTTTGTGACTATAAATTCTGTCTACACTTGAGTTGCACAATAAATGGTGATCATTTTTCATCAACAATTTTTTTTTTTTTGTTATAGGGCACATGGACTCACTGGAGAGCAATTGGGGTGTATAAGGGGGAGGCTGGTGAGAAAGCTCCTCTCAGGGGGATGGCCATGCCACAAACCCTCTTGATTCTTTTCTTGGGTTTTCGGACATGCATGCATATGTGCCTGGCATGTTTATCAAGCCACTAGGTATAGGACTTAGACTCACACCATGCAGTCATCCATGTGGGATCGAGCCACCTCATATGACATTTTTGTGTCACTTCAATATATTGGCCCACTTCATTCTGGTCTCCAAAGGTTTTTTTTTTTTTTTTTTTTCTCCCCAGATTTTTTATGCCATAGAACAATGTTATGCTTGCCAGAGAGAGAGAGAAAGGGAGAGGAAATGTGAGGAATCACCTACTCTAGGGATGACCATGCCACAGTTCCTTCTCCATTCTCCTCTTGAGATTTTGGGCACCTGCACATGTCCAGCGTGTCTTTCGGGCTGCCAGGTCTGGGACTTGATCTGCAGAATCAGCCATGTGAGATCTAGCACCTTAACCATCACACCACCAGCTAGCCTGATCTCCAAAGTTTTTGGTGAGAAATCTGCTAACTATCTTATTGAGGACTCTTGTGTGAGGAGTGGATTCTTTCTCAGTGCTTTCAGCATTCTTTCTTTTTATATTCCCAAATTTGATCACAAAGTGTCTTAATGTGCTTATCTTAGTCTATCTTCATTCATGCATGCCATTCATTAAATTTATATATATATATATTTTTTTTTAATTTGCTATAGGGCACTATGGCGAAAGAGAAAGAAAACACCCTCCCATGAGGGATGACCACACCACAGTCCCTTTTCCTCCATTCTCATCTCATGATTTTGGGCAAGCTTGTACCCAGTGTTTTTTTTAAGCTGCCAGGTCTGGGACTTGAACTGTGCAGTTGGCCATGTGGGATCTGTCCGCCTTAACCTCCATGCCACCAACCACCTCTTAAAACAATATATTTTAAAAACAGCTCATACTTTAAAGTTTGGCCTAGATATTAAATGAAATGAGTACCTCAACAGTTTATATATTTTGCTAAGTCAGGGGACAAGTGTTTTATTTACTAATGATCTTATCTTTCTAGTCCTAACAGAGGCTTTACAGAAATGCACTGTATGAGTGGCCACTCCAATTTTGTATCTTGTGTATGCATCATACCTGCAAGTGACATGTATCCTCATGGACTAATTGCTACCGGAGGAAATGACCACAATATTTGTATCTTCTCACTGGACAGCCCCATGCCACTTTATATTCTAAAAGGTCACAAAAATACTGGTGAGTATAAGGTTGGTATTTTTCTTTTTAGAGAAGTTTCATCCCTTTGAAAGTAAAATTCACATACCCATTTGATCTAGTTTCTATTGTTGCATTCTATGGCTATGGCTCAGTAGTGCAAATCTTTTTGGATCTTTTTAGTTTTGTAAATTCTCTCGTTATAAATTTGTCATTGTTAACAGTAAAGGTTGACATGCTTTTATAGGTAAGAAGCAGAATGTTCAATTACATAAAGAAGAGGCTGTTGGAACCAGTTACTCTAATAATTCCAGAGCCCTAAACTCATTCCTTCTAGGTCCTCACTTTGGCAGATATACATAAACGTAAGAGCTAGAAGATAAAAAATACTAGTTATCTTTTAAAAATGAATTTATTGCACAAAATAATTAAAAATCAAAATCAAGAACAGCCTCTTCTCTTTTTTTTTCCTTTTTTGTGAGCTTTTTGGTATAGGACGCATGTGCTCACTAGAATGGCAGAAAGAGAGACTGACAGATGGAAAGCAAGAAATCACCCCCCAGGAGGATGGCCACACCACAATCCCTTCTCCTTCATTCTCCTCTTGGGATCTTGGGCACGCACGCACACGCGCCCGGTGCGAATTTAAGCCACCGAGTCGGGGACTCGAACTGTGATCAGCGACATAGGAGTTCCGCGGTCGACTACGTGGGAATCCAGCGACATAGCCATTACGCTAACTGCTGGTTCCATTTTGTCCCTCTTCAACTCCATTATTTTAAAGAAAATTGTTGCCATCATGTGTAAATACTTCAGTATGTAGCTCTAAAGTTGGAGTTGGCAAACTTTTTCCATAAAGGATCAAATAGTAAATATTTTAGGCTTTTGATGCCATCTAGTTGCTACATAGCTACTCACCTGTCATTGTTAATACAAAAGCAGCCATAGATAATAAAAGAAATGAATGAATGTGGGTGCTGAAATTTGGATCCCATATAATTTTTACATATCAAGCATTCTTTTAATTCTTTATGCTTTTCAGTTTTGTGATAGGGTGTGTGTGCTTGCCAAAGAGGGAGAGAAGTGAGAAATTTATCCTTCAAGGCGAGGCCATGTCCCAGTCCCTTCTCCCCTTCTCCCATTTCCTCAGGATTTTGGGCATGCATGCATATGTGCCCACGTGATTGTTAAGCCAGTCTGGGTCTCAAGGCTAGTGGGGTCCAATACCTTAACCTCCACGCCATCCTCTGGACCTTGATTGTTTATTCTTAGCCACTTAAAAATGTAAAAAAACATTCTTAGTTTGTGGAGTATACAAAAATAGGTGGCCTCCAGACATTAGTTTGCTGCTTTTTTCTTTAATTTTATTTCCTGCCCCAAGGACTCTCCTTTTTCTAAAAAGAAAAAATAACCTCAGTAATGAACCAGAGAGCCAGCACCCTCAACAGGGTTTGATGTTATGGTCTCCCCTCAGTATCAGCCAGACCAGGGTCATGGGCATGTCCATGCCTGGTGTTTTTTGTTTGTTAGTTGGTTGGTTTTTGGAGAGGTTTTTGCTATAGGGCGTGTCTGCTCGCCAGAAAGACAGAGACAGAGACAGAAAACGAGAAATCACTCCTTCAGGGGGATTGGCCATGCCTCAATCCCTTCTCCTTCATTCTCCTCTTGGGATCCTGGGCACTCATGCACACGTGCCCAGCATGAGTTTAAGCCACCGGGTCTGGGACTTGAACCATGGTCGACTACATGGGAGTCCAGCGACAAAGCCATTACGCCAGCTGCTGGTCCCCATGCCTGGTATTTTAGGAAGGTCTCTGGACATGAATGTAGAACCTTTCCACATAGGTCAGCCTCAAAGATTGTCATGTTTTCCCACTATGTCAACTGTCCAGCCCCTCAAATTTCTCACTATCAACTATCTAGTGAGTATTCAGAGTTACCTAGTTGTCTCATAAATAATTTTTTACAGTATGCTTGAATTGTGACCCAAAAAAATTCTGTCTGTCAAGTTTTTGTTTCTGTCTTTCCCCTTGCTGTTTGAAACCAGATTATTATACCTGTAAATTTTTCCACAATCTGAATTGTCCTGATTAAATTGTCCTTTTTGTTCCAGTAACATGTTCTTCAGGCCCCTGTATTTCTTATAAGCTGTTAGTTAGATTTAGAAGCTTTAGCAGATGCAGAGTGAAGGTTTTTTTTTTTTTTTAATTTTTTTCTTTTTTTAATTTTATCCCTTCCTTGACCCAGAGAGACCCAGCCAGAGACAGGCAACACCCTTAACAGGCTCCTATTTTCTTTTTTAAAACATTGCCGGAGGGTGTGCATACTTGCCACAGAGAGAGAGAAAACACCTTCAGTGGTCATGCTGCAATCTTTTCCCTCCATTCCTTCTTCCTGTCAAGATTTTGGGCATGCACACACATGGACCCAGTGAGTTTCTCAAGTTGTTGGGGCTTGGATTTAAACCTTGGTAGGCCATATGAGAATCGGCTCCCTTAACTGCTTGAGCTATGGAGCCATCTCACCCCCCAAAAGGGTCTTAACAATGCATTACATCCCTGTTTACCACTATCAAAATTAGATATTTAGGTTTTCCTGTTCCTAAAGAATTAAAAATGAGAGCCAGCGCATGGTGGTTAAAGTAGCTGGATCCCACATGGCCAGCTGCACAGATTGAGTCTCAAACTTGCTGGCTTGAGAAACATACTGGGCGTGTGTATGTTTGTGCCCAAAATCCTGAAGGCAGAAAAGGAGAAGAGATTGCAATGTGATCATCCTCCACAGGGATGCTTGCTTTCTTTTCCTCTCTGTCTCTGGTGATCACATGTACCCCTGGCAAATAAAACCCAGCAAAACAAAATCTAAAACTTAATTTTGTAATTTCATTTTAAGCTGTAATTATTCATTAGTTAATAAATGATAAAAATCTCTAGAGGTATTACTGTCTTATAAATGAGAGTAGCTAAAAGAAGAAAGTTGAAGACTGGCTTTGTGCCACAGTAGTAATGCCCTACTGAAGAGAAGCTGGATTCCACATGGCAACAGCAGTTTGAATCTCCAGCTTGGTCGACCATGCATGTGCACAAGTGCCCCGGATTTGATGGACTGGAGGACGGGAGGAAGGGTGTCATGGTGTGCTAGATCCTGTAGGGTTTCTTTCCCTTTCTCTTTCTTTCTCATGTACATGTTCTACCATGAATTTTTAAAATATTTTAATAAAAGAAGAAATTTTTGTTGTTGTTGTTGGAGAGGTTTTTTTTGTTGTTGTTATAGGGCGCGTACGCTCGCCAGACAGGCAGACAAACAGAAAGCAAGAAATCACCCCCCCGGGGGGGATGGCCACGCCACAGTCCCTTCTCCTCCATTCTCCTCTCGGGATCTTGGGCACGCACGCACGCATGCGCGGCGTGAGTTTTAAGTCCAGCAGACTCCCACGTAGTCTACTGTGGTTTGCGTCCCGGACCCAATAGTTTTGAAATTATATTCTTACCAAAGTAAAAACTTATTTTTCCTAAAACAAATGACTTTTTTCCCCCTCGTTTTCATAGTTTCCTGGGTAACTGTTTGTAATTTTCTACATATATTGCAGTAAGTCTATGAATGCCTATCTTTCCAAATATTTGAATATATAGTATGAGTTAGGATAGACTAGCTTACGGTATAGTCACAGTCAATTCCCAGATCTCATTGTAACCCAGAAATATTTCTATTACCCTACAAAATCCACAGGGGTTAGTAAAGAGACTCTGCTCATAAGAGTTCCTCGAGGCCCATTCACTTCTCTACATGTGCTTCAGGAGTTGTAGCAGTGAAATGTTAATAGCGCACTGGAACGAGCCGCAGATGGCATGGTGGTTAAGGGCACTGGACTCCCACATGGCCGACCACTGTTCAAGTCTCGGACCTGGTGACTTGTTTCTCACCTCCATCCCCTCTGTCCCTCTCTGGTCAAATAGAAAGAAAGAAAGGAAAGGAAAGGAAGAGGGAGAGAGGGAAGGAGGGAAAAAAGAAAGCTAGATAAAATAATTTTTTTAAAAAAGCGCACTGGACCTATAAAGCACTTGCCTCAAAGTATCAATTACCATTTTGCCTATGTGTAATTTCCTTTTCTAAACCATCTTCCTTTGTATTGGAAAACAGGTACCATATTCAGCTTGCTCTCTCCTGCAGGCAGAATATATGCACTTCTCTTCCAATTTCAAATAATCCAAAAATACTGTCGAATTATTGGGTTGTCTGAAAAGTCGTGATGCATTTTTGCATAGAAAAACTACATCATGACTTTTCTGACAACCCAATATAACTTCAAGCCCAAAGTTCCTAGTCTCTGGTGCTTGGGTGTTTTTATGTCAGGTCCAGATAGAATTCCTCCTTTTTAAAATTGTATTTAAATTTATTTATTTATTTCAGTTTTTCCAGAGAGAGACAGAGTGATGGGGTGGGGAGTGAGAAAGCAAGTCTCCAGATACGGGATTCGAACTCTCGTCAGCCATGTGGAGTCCGTTGCCCTTAACCACCACGCCAACTGCCGACCCTTGTAATTCTTAAGTTCAGAGATTTTTGGGCTGAAAACACAGGTTATCTGTCTCCTTTACACAGTACTTTGAAATGGAATAGGATAATGAAAGCAAATACTCCTATTCAGAAAAGGAACTGTTCAAGGCAGCAGTTTCTTACCTATAGACATTGTGAAGTTCAAATGAGTGACTATCTTAAGGACTGTAATCTGAGAGTAGAAATTTTGTGATCAGTTCCTTCAGGTCTCTGGAAGAGGATTCCCAATTCATTGTTTCTCAGGGCTATGGTATGATTCTATGGGTTTCTCTTTTTCTAAGATAATTGTTCATATTTATATGTTCAAGGCAGCAGTTTCTTACCTATAGACATTGTGAAGTTCAAATGAGTGACTATCTTAAGGACTGTAATCTGAGAGTAGAAATTTTGTGATCAGTTCCTTCAGGTCTCTGGAAGAGGATTCCCAATTCATTGTTTCTCAGGGCTATGGTATGATTCTATGGGTTTCTCTTTTTCTAAGATAATTGTTCATATTTATAATTTCTCGCCTATGAAATTTTGCATAAAGATAATAAGACCTTTAATTAACTATTTCTTTACTGTTGAACTTTGCGCTTTGTTCTGGTTTTCTTGTTATGCTAATGAAAGAAATTCTAAATATCTACAGAAACAACTTTCCAAAATTGTATATAATATGTTCATATTTCCTATTATAGCTTCTTAGAACTAGAAGGGGTTACGTAATCCACTTGGTCTTCTACCTCATTTTATAGCCTGGGGATCTGGGGTTAAGTGATATCACTGTGGTCACACAGCTTGTAAGTGGCGCAGCTTGGCCATGCACCCATGCAGTTTAGCACTGCATTGATGCTTTTGACCATTGTGCTGATTCTGCATCTCCGTTAAATTAACTTTTAATTGGAAGCTTAATAATTTGCAAGAACATTTCTTCTCTATAAAAATGTGCTAATTAATGACTTTTTTCCTTAGTTTGTAGTCTCTCGTCTGGAAAATTTGGGACTTTACTTAGTGGCTCCTGGGACACCACTGCTAAAGTCTGGCTGAATGACAAGTGCATGATGACCCTACAGGTACAAAAGTTATGTGTCAATATTGTAGATAATCATAAAATATGACTATTCTGTGGCAACTTAAATGGTTACTCATTTTATTCACAGGGCCATACAGCTGCAGTGTGGGCAGTAAAGATCTTACCTGAACAGGGCTTAATGTTGACTGGATCGGCAGACAAGACTATTAAACTGTGGAAGGCTGGAAGATGTGAGAGGACTTTCTCAGGTAAAATCAGGGTAGACAACTTTTATGATATCATAGCTTCTTCTTAGCTCAGATTTTTAAAATTTTTTTCTCAGAAGTAGAACGAGCCAGTGGCATGGTGGTTAAGGTGGCTCAATCCCATGTGACCAAATTGCAGTTTGAGTCTTTGATACATTTGCTTAAAAAACATGCTGGGTGTATATTCATGCATACCCAAATTCCAAGAGGAGAATAAAGAAAGGATTGTAGTGTGGTCATCCCCTCAAGGGGGTGATTTCTTACTTTTTTTCTCTTAATTGTCTCTCGCTATCTCTGGTGAGCATATGCACCCTGTAGCCACCGCCCACCCCCTCCCCCCCAAAAAAGATGAATAGTTGAAGTCAAAATGTATTTTGTGAGCCCAGTTTCTGTGGTGTAGTTGGTAGTGTACCACAATGGGGAACTAGAAGCTACATGCTAACTGTTATTTGAGTTCCCAGTTGGTTTGGCCTGAAGCCACGTGACACACACACCCATGTGTTGTGTGGGATTGTGATGGGCTAGAGGACTAGAGGAAGGTGACGGCGGTATACCAGGCACTGTGGAGGGTGCTTTTCTGTCTATCTCTGATCCATGCACATATGCTCCATCTTAAAAAAATATACTGTTTTTCGAGGGTTATGGAGAATAATAATAATAATAAACAATAGAAGGTATGATGAACATAAAATAACTTCCTAAGACAGACAGGTGCTAAAAATGTTGTTAAAACTGAATTACAAATTTTAGTTACCAGACTTTTCCACAGAAAAAATGCAATTTCTCTAACTTGAAAAATCAGTTTGGGACCAGCATATGGCATAATGGTTATGTTGCTGGACTCCCACGTAGTCGACCGTGGTTCAAGGCCCAGACCGGGTGGCTTAAAACTCATGCCGGCCTCATGTGCAAGTGTACCCAAAATCCCAAGAGGAGAATGGAGAAGGGATTGTGATGTGGCCATACTCTGGGGGATGATTTCTCGCTTTTTGTTTCTCTGTCTCTTTTTGTCTCCCTGGCAGGCACGCATGCCCTATAGCAAAACCTCTCTAAAAAGAAAAGAAAAAAGAGAAAATCAGCTTTTACTACCTGCTGATACTTTTTATAATGTTAATAGAGTATATAGAGCCTTCACCCAAGTGATACATTTTACTGATTAATGTGATTCTTTTTTTTAATACAGGGCATGAAGACTGTGTAAGAGGTTTGGCAATTTTGAATGAAACAGAATTTCTTTCTTGTGCAAATGATGCTAGTATTAGAAGGTGGCAAATCACTGGCGAGTGTCTTGAAGTCTATTATGGACATACAAATTATATTTATAGCATATCTGTCTTTCCAAATTGTAAAGGTAAGGTTCTCTTATCCTAGGTATTTCAAATTTTGTCTTAAGCATTATTCTGTTACATTCTTGAGATGGGGAAGAGGACTGATTACTTAAGTCAATTTAGTATCTGTGACCTGAATGATTTCATAATTTTATTTCCTAAAATATCTTTTTTCCTAATGGAGAATATTACATATCCATCTTTATATTATGTTAGATTTGATGGTGGTTTTGTAAAAAGTTCTTAGGTATTGGAACCAACAGTTGACATAATGGCTATGTCACTAGATTCCCTTGTAGTCAACCACGGTTCTAGACCTGGACCCAGTGGCTTAAACTCAAGTTTGGTGCATGTGCATGCGTGCCCAAGATGCTGAGAGGAGGAGAAGGGATTGCAGAATGGCCATTCCCCCCTGCGGGGGGCAGGGGGGATTTCTCGCTTTCTATCTCTCTCTGTCTTTCTGACAAGCACACATACCTATAGCAAAAACCTCTTCAAAAAAAAAAAGTTCTTAAGTATCTGATAGAATACTTTGTATAATTTATTGGTGCTGAGGCATGGATAAGATGTAAAATAAATTTAAAAATTTGATTTTTGAAGTTATAAGTGGTATATAAATTTACTTATTTTTCTTTATTGAAAATAATTTTTCCTATGTTCATTAATTTTAGATTTTGTGACAACAGCAGAAGACAGATCTCTGAGAATCTGGAAGCATGGAGATTGTGCTCAAACAATTCGACTTCCAGCTCAGTCTATATGGTGCTGCTGTGTGTTAGACAATGGTGACATTGTGGTTGGTGCGAGGTATTTATATTCTAAATAGTCTATGTCTAGGTCTTTGGTAGGCAATAATGTGTACAGAGATAAGCCATACGTATTTTAGGTCAACAGGGGAGACTATATGCACATTTTGGTAACTGAGCAAAACAGTTGTAGATACAACACATTTTACACAAGTGATACATGATGTATTACACTAGCATGGTACCTCAAGTCGTACGTCAAAATGAATGCTGAAGAAGTTAGAAAAGATATAGATTGGTGTGAGAACACTTTTTGGAGAAGAAGAAATTTGAATTAGAGTTTTCAAAGCAATGAACTGGTCAGCTCCCCAGTTCAAGTCCTGAGCCCAGCAGTTTGAGAATCACACAGGGCACATGTACCTGCATGCCCAAATCTCAAGTGAAGAGTGAAGGAGAGGAATTGTATTGTGGCCCTGCTCCCGGGACAGTGATTTTCTCATTTTCCCTCTTTCTCTCTCTGGAGAATGCACACACCCTATAGCAAAAACTAAAACAGAAAAGAAAAAAACAAGGAGAAAGTGAGAATTTTTGTCAAAAACAAATTTCCTTCATGAGAATGAATGTGGCATGTATAGGGGATGAAGGGAAATGCTGGAGGATTAATGCTGAAGATTAGGGGAAAATAGACACAGTGGAAAATCTGGAATGCAGAGCATGTTTTTAGCTTTGGTGATTAGAATTAAGGGAGAGTAGCTCAATAATGTTAAAGTAGAACTCGTGAATTATAACATACATAGATAAAACTAGTGTTAACAATGGACAGGAAAGCACACTAGAAAGTAATTTCAGTAGTGGGGTTATGAAGTTATAAAACTGGCCACCACATACTAATGGGTAAGAGAAATAAGATTATTGAAAGGAAAATTATCAGACGGTGAAAGGGAAGGCAAAAGCTTTTTCTTTTTTTTTTTTTTTGAGAGGTTGTTGCTATAGGGCGCATGCACTCACCAGAAATACAGAGAGACAGAGAGACAGAAAGCGAGAAATCACCCCCCAGGGGGGATGGTCACACCACAGTCCCTGCTCCTCCATTCTCCTCTCAGGATCTTGGGCATGCACGCACACGTGCCCGGCATGAGTTTTAAGGCACCGGGTCCGGGACACGAACCGCGGTCGTGGTAGTCCAGCGACATAGCCATTACGCTAACTGCTGTTTCCCGGGAAGGCAAAAGCTTTAAACTTTTGATGATTGGAAGTCCCCACTAATAAAATATGGAGAAGTAGGGAAATTGGTTTGAGAACTGATGTTTTTCTTTAGACCCTAAGGTCTTCATGTGGTGAGCTACTGTCATGCTCGTGGATCATGGGCAGAGCTTAGAGTAAGAACTGAGACGAAAAGAAAGGTTTGCATAGAACTGCCAGATGCAAACTAAACACCTCCTTCTGTGGGAAGAAAGACAGTGAATAGAATACTAAGAAATCAATCTGTGATAATCTGTAGGTATAGAAAGAGAAACTATCAGATTAAACAAAACAAATCCAGTTGCTGAACTTCAGGGAGATAGAAGGGTTTGTGGAGGAAGGTTGTCATCAATATCAAAAATACTTGAGGGGTGAAGAAGTTGAAAGCTAGAAAAACATTTGTATTTGGCTTGCCAGATGTTATTAATGGCTCTCTTGACATCACATTTTGGTGGAAAATGCTAGGGGAAAAAAGTAAGTAAGAGGAGATACTTATTTGAGGTGATAGATGAAAGAAAGGGTTATAGACCATCCTGGCATTGAGGTCAAGAATAAAAAAGTAACAGTTGTAAGCGATACAAGGTCTAGTAAAATAGAGGTATTTTATTTATTTTGGCTAGGGCACAGGTTGATTTGTTGGCCTAGTTTTTCTTCCGTAAGTATATTTTAAATTGAGGGAAAAAAAACCAGTGGAAAGAATGAAATTGTTATTAGTGGAAGGTTAAGTGAAGAATAGTCTGTGAAATCAGATAGGATTAATATAGTTAAAAAGTAGCTAACCTTGGGACCAGCAGATGGCGTAATGGTTACATTGCTGGACTCCCATGTAGGATGGTTCAAGTCTCAGACTAGCAGCTTAAAACTCACACTGGGCGCGTTTGTGTGTATGGCCAAAATTCCGAGAGAATGGAGGAAGAGAGATTATAACATGGCCAGCCCCTCTGGAGGGGTGGTTGATTTCTCGCTTTCTGTCTCTCTCTGTTTCCCTGGCGAGTGGACATGCTCTATAGCAAAAATCTCTTATCTTAAAAAAAAAAAAAAAAAAAAAAAAGGTAGCTAAACTTGGCCCTCTTATCTCAACATTTAGAACTGAGAAATCATGGCAATGAAGTAGTAATGTTTCCAATAATACTAATTGAATACTGGTATCTCCCTTCAAACACAATGCCTTTTATTGTTTTTGTTTTTCATTGACTGAGGTTACATTGCTAGCTATTGGCATAGTAAAGAAAGATTGTTTCTTTATCAAGTATCTGTTGTTTTATAAGCCTTATGTTGGGTCTTGAGCCATTTTTGTATATTTATATTTGCCAGATGGCTTGTGTTCTCACCAGACTGAGCATGAGAGAGAGAGCTCTCTGGTGGAACATAATTATTCCAGAGTCCTTGTTCCTCCAATTCTTTTTCCTCCTTTTTGTTAGAATTTTGGGCACACACATACATGTGCCCAGTGTGTTTTCAAGCATTTGAACTACAGTCAACCATGTGGGATCCTGCTCCCAATGCTTTAACTCCTATGCTATAGGACTAACCCTCTGGAGTAGTTTATAAAGTAAACCAGCCCACTACTCTTCTCTGTACCACAATACCTGTGTAGTTCTGACCTTAAAGGTATATGTATTGGGGGACCAGCAGTTAACGTAATGGCTATGTCGCTGGACTCCCACGTAGTCGACCACAGTTCACGTCCCGGACCCGGTGGCTTAAAAACTCACGCTGGGCGTGTGTGTGTGCGTGCCCAAGATCCCGAGAAGAGAACGGAGAAGGGATTGCGGCGTGACCATCCCCCCTGTGGGGTGATTTCTCGCTTTCTGTCTCTCTATCTCTCTCTGTCTGTCTGGCAAGCGCACGCGCCCTATAGCCAAAACCTCTCAAAAAAAAAAAAAAGTATATGTACTGGGACTATCACGTGGCATAATGGTTATGTTACTGGACTCCCATGTACTTGACCATGATTCAAGTCCTGGACCCAGTGGCTTAAAACTCAGGCTGGGGCGGGACCAGCAGTTAGCATAATGACTATG